ACCCCTTCGAGACAGCTGACTTGGCATGCGTTCTCCACTGCATTGCTTCCCGACGCTGCGGTAGCTATCTTCACTTCATCCATCTTCCAACTCTCAGTCTCCAATGTTTTCCCTGTGCTTGATGTACATCCTTGCCTGACTCAATGCTCCCCAGATTTTACTCGGGCCTTCTAGCAATTGGACGAAAAGAGAATAATGCAGTGTCAGGAACTGACTAATCAAAAACCCACGTTAGTATACTAGGAATTGTTTAAACGCGAAAGGGGAATTTGGGAGAATTGGACTGAGTTAGACTGTAAAGGCGAAATTTTAGGAGGAGAATTTATTCGAAGTCCGACAGTGAAAGTAAAGCTCGACACAAACCGAAATATACAAAACTAAATAGGCGTGTGTGAACCAAATTGATTTCACTGTATGCGTAACCAAACCAGTGAAGACATATCAGACCTGCGAGGCCGACTATGTAGCCTGACTACTACGCCCCTTAACAAAGCATATACAAAGGGATTTAGTCCAGTATATTTAAGGAGAACAGGCAAAAAATACCGATTTAATATGAAAACACAGCAGAACGAGGACATGGGAATGCTGGAATGCATAATGCAATAACGTGACATTTCACTTTCATTTGCCTACGCGGATCATGGGAGACGAATTGAACAACCGTCCAACAAAAGTTAAGTTGCTTATTTAGGCTTGACCAAACAAACGACGAATGGCTTGGTAGACTGGCGGTAAAACGGCAACCAACTCCAATTATATCCCACACCACTCAAATTATTTGCACGCTTGGTAAGACGACTCGATCGCTGAGACAATACTTTTATTCGCCTGACGTTTCAAGATCCGTCGCAGATTCGTCATCAGAGACATAATCACGGAGCAGTAGCAGATGCAGGTAGTGTGTGCACAGGAGTTTGCCGTAAAATTTAAACGTGCAGAAAAATCGATAACTGACAGGAGTGAGCGTTGATTCGCTACGTCAGCAATGGCTATCTTGCCCTGCGGTGTTGGCGTTGGATGATGCGGTGACTTGTCTGTTCCCCGAGCGACGACTTGCTTTGGCCAAATTGAGTCTCAGCACCGAATATGGATTGGGCAATGGGGCAAACCAGATGGCCAACAAGGCCGCACCGACCCCAAAAAATTTGCGAGCAATCCGTACGTCAAAAACGTCTCGGAGGCTGTCGGCCGTCTTCTCGCACCACTTGGAGTTGGAGTCGCAGACAGGCCGGAAGCAACCATAAGGCATCAGATCATGAAACCGAAAGACCCACTGCCGCGGCAAGAAACATCTGGAGTCATCTACAGGATCTGGTGCACTTGCGGGCAAAGCAACTACGTCGGAGGAACTAGTAGACTTCACAGGACACGAACTGCCGAACACACGGCAGCAGTGCGGCGAAATGACGCCAATTCTCAGGTTGCGGCTCATTCGACGAGACCACACATTTAAATTTGTTGAGACCGAAATTTTCGCAAAAGGCACAATCGGGTGAACTGATAATTACTTGAGTCATGGTTTGCAGGCCCCCATTCCATCAATAAGTGCAACGATTTGCCCAATCCATATTTGGTGCTCAGACTCAATTTGGCCAAAGCAAGTCGTCGCTCGGGGAACAGACAAGCCACCGCATCATCCAACGCCAACACCGCAGGGCAAGATAGCCATTGCTGACGTAGCGAATCAACGCTCACTCCTGTCAGTTATCGATTTTTCTGCACGTTTAAATTTTACGGCAAACTCCTGTGCACACACTACCTGCATCTGCTACTGCTCCGTGATTATGTCTCTGATGACGAATCTGCGACGGATCTTGAAACGTCAGGCGAATAAAAATATTGTCCCAGCGATCGAGTCGTCTTCTTCTCAATTACTCCCTGGGACTCGCATGTTCGCTCGTATTGCCTATTTGCACGCTGTTAGGGACATGCTAAGGTACGGGTATATATCCTTCCGCCTAGGTGTTAGCTCCATATGGCGCACCCGTGTCGGCAAGCATT